ATGGCACTTAGATCATCAATCAACAATTTATTATTTTGGATACAGTCGAGTCAAATTAATTGACTAGCCAAGGTGTATATGATAATGTTCAGAAATCTAAAAACCAAAGAAAAGCTGTACTGAAGGTATGGCTGGAGGTGAAGGGTATGAAGAGGAAGACACTAGCACTAGTTACACAGTCTCTATGTTTATATAATACTCTTATACTACTTAAAAATTCTACTGATAAGAGTTCATTTGTATTATCAAGAAAATATACTAGGAAGGTTAATGGTAGTGGCATTAGCTATATTATCCCTTAATGTGAATTTGGAGGGCATAAGAAAAGGTATGACAGGTAATTTTAGGTACTGTATAAGTGAAGGGAGAAGGCCTAAGTGGGGTCCTATAGTAGTTTTTGACAGCTAGAGGATAAAATCTGGGCACTAAATTCTCAGGAAGGGATGAAAATTAAAGGGTAATAGAGACAAACACGGCTTCTTTTTCAGTTTTATTGAAGTACAACCCTGATCCTGGCCCTACTCACAGCCCCAATTTCAAGCTACAAATGAATTTGTATCAGGTCACTACCACCACAAAGTATAAACTACTGGAAGCTCCTGTCATGGTTTGTTGGAGAAAACACATGTGGACTCGCATATAAACCTGGGAACACTTTCCAGAGCCTAAGATTAGCTGTGCATGAGAATATGTGGCATCATGTATAGCTAGACAAGAGCAGGTTCTAAGACACTAGGATGATGAAGCCTTTATGATCACTGCACTCTCACAGAAGACTAGAAAAAGTGTAAGTTACTCAGAGTGACCAGTGAGAGCAAAGGGCAATTCTATACTAGATAGACAGTCCAATTCTATTAATATCTTTCTACTAAGATTTTTAAAGTTCTTATTCCAAAGTTACTAATATTCCTTCAGATTTAGATCCTGAACAACCTTTTACAAGCAGCTGGGGTGGTCTTCTGTAACTGAAAGTTACTACAAAACTCATAGCTCTTACCTCCAACTCTACTCTGATTCTTAGCCACTATTGAAGCAAGAAGAAAATTGGGCATTTCCTACTCTGGCATGAATTAGCAATTTAGAGTAGCAGACAATATGAAGAACTTCCATAGACCTACTCCTACATCTTCACTGCTCGTTCTTCTCTTTCAGCTCCATCAATATTTCACTCCCTCAGCATAGGACCTAACTCAATTTAATGTTTGTTTCCATCTTTGAGGCAGGAAAAAATGCATACACACACACATTCTCATTAAAGATACACAATTCAAAATAGGGAAACCTGACAAACACTAAACATGAAAAGGAAATATTTTAACTAAAAATAATAGTCTATATTTTAATTAAACAAGAGCCATGATCTACTAGAACAATCAAAAGAAGTTTTTTTTTCTGGTTTTTGTTTTGAAAGATTCATAAATGGGGTGAAAAGTTGGGAGAGAAGAGAATTAACCTGAATTTTAAAGTTAGTATGTTTTGTGGGCCTCTAATATACATTGGGTAGATCCTCCATGAAGGACCTATGGACAATCATGGCTAAGAATCACATGGGATAAGAAGGAATAGATGGGTTATGATCTGTAACAGTGGAGAGATTACCTATATCCACGAAATCAGATCCAAATTAAGTATAGAGATAAGTCAATGCCTTGGACTGAACTTGAGCTAGCCACAAGACTGGGTAAGACTATCCAGAGATCATTCTCCTGTATCTTTGTGGATAATAGTGAAAATAACTGACAAAAGAGTATATTTCTAGTTTTTAAAAACTTATTTATGGATAGAATAGTAGCTATATAGAAACAGGAACAATTTTTAATTTACCTATATTTTCAGTATACCTGACTGTACTATAACCTTAAAATAGCGTTACTCTTTTAAGAAATTAAAAGTAGCAATTATAACATATAAAAACCTTTATACAATAATGTCAGTGTGAGCTGAGTAGTGACCCCAGATGAAGGCCAGAGGTTTGTTATGGCAAAAAGCAGCCTTGTGTATGTTAAAATTTGGTGACAGCAATGATCTTTAACATAGTAGTATATGTGTTGAAATCCTCTGAGAAAAGAATATGATGACCCTTTTTGGTGAGGGATGGAATTTCTAGCAAAGTAGACTGATGATGTGGTACCATACAGAAAGAAAGCTGAAGAGAACATAGGCTTGGGGAAGGGGGTGGAAGAAGATGGGGGTGGGCTAAATGAAACACTAGAAAAGCCTTAAAGGCAGAGTCAGAGGAAGCAAGAAAAATGTAGTAAAGGAGAATAGAACCTAGGATTACTTACACATATGGATAATTCAACTCAGGGAAATGATAATAGGCTAAAGGAAGGAAATTAAGTGTAAGCAGAACCTAGAAAGAAAATATGCTAAGCTAGTGCAGCAAGTATTGACCAGAACAGTGATTTCTATCAGAAGAGAAAAGGGATATACCTAGGGCCTAAACTAAAGAAAACAGCTTGACATAGAGAGTAGAACAAAATGGTGAACTAGGAGGAAGAACTGTGATCCCAAAAATTAAAGATAAAAAGAGATTGTAGACTGACAGACTGAGGATAGGGAATTCCTAGAAGGGTCAATGCTTGATGCTTTAAATTTGTGCCAAGCCAAATAACACCAGAGGGTTACTTTAACTCTACATATACCTCCCCCCACCCCCCATACCACACAGTCTCCTTACATAGTTGGTAAAGTTTGTTGCTCATTTCAAATAGCTGCATATGCTAAAATACAGCAAATCTGGGAAACAGAGCATTTCCAGAGAGGAAGTACTAAGTGGGGAAATGTTCTAAACACAATATCAGTTTTCAAAGAGAAGTCCCTACCACCTTCCCTCAACACTTTTTTACACTTGGTTGGTGGCAGCAGAAAGTTAATCCAAGTTCAGCAATTAGGCGAAGTACCAGAGCATTCCTTAATTTAGAGAGTACCTCTGATGGTGGTACCTTATTTTTGTCATAATTCTCTCTATAATTATGTTACAGAGACAAAAGTGTGTAGAGGCAGGAGTGAGGGACATAAGTTATAAAGAAAAAGAAAATTGCTATTTGAAGGAAAGGAAGCTTAAAGTAATATTTAAACTCTCTTCAAATGTTTTTAAGGGTGAATGGTACTTGTATTTGACTATTTTATAATTTAGGAGATTTAGCAATAATTTACATAAAAATACCATCATCATATATAGTACTTTTTAGTGGTACCCAAAATTATTCTTCAACACAAAAATAACAGCACATTCTAGATTAAACAAAAATGTGAAATTTTATATAACTATTTCAAACATACCAAGGCAGCCAGACTTTGTGTTGTTTAATAATAAAAAGATTTCTCATTAAGATATAACCACAATTAACATGCACTGATTATCATGTGCTAAGTAATTTTAAGAACACTTTTAGATCTCTGTTAAAATATAAGGGATATAGTATTTTAAGATTTTTCTCCTGATAAAAAGAGTCTATGTTTGACATGGCACCATCCCACTGCTCCCCCAACCCTCCTTAACACTTTTTGAAGCATAGCATTTTCAACATGATAAAAAAAATTTTTGTATTAAGGATTATTATATTATTTAATATGGAATATAGATAATTCATATGAGAAGAAATTATGTAAAAAGGATGAATGGTGCTTATCTGATGGGAGCTATCTAAATGGTTAAATCTATAGGTTTTATTCAGGAGGGAAATAATAATGCAGTCAATTTATATTGATTTACACGTACTAACTCAAAATAATTCAAAGTCCATTTCTACATTAAAAGAAAACTTTATTAGTAGCCTAAATTTCACTGTCCTTAACCTTTGTGCCACTTAATAGAATTAATAAGTCTTTAAAAATCGGTAGTTATGAACACCAAAACAAAATTTAAAAAAATATTTTAGGAAGAGGATTCAAAGAAGTCCAAGATTAATGTACAGGAAAGAAAAGGAAGAAGTAAAAAACAGAAATTAACACATATAATAAAAATACTAGTAGTGGTGATAAAATTAAATCAGCATTTCAGATCTGAGAATGATTTAAGGGGACCAGAATGAAGGGAAAAATGACAGATCCTCTGATAATCAAAGCATTTTAAAGAGTGTATTACTTTATTTTCATGTATAAGAAAAATGTAGAAACATTGTATACCCATAATTTATTCTACAATTCCTTAAATTGACTGCATTAATTTATAGAGTCTCCAAATCAATTCACTGATCTCTTTTACTGAGGGGTGCATTGTTTGAAGATGAAAGACTTACGTCATCCAAAAAATCAATCAGTGAAGATGAGGAAGAAGAAAAGGAATCCTATTTAACGAATACAGCAATAAAGAAATAGAAAAAAATGTATGAAGCAATTTGATAAAAATAAATAATAACTCCAATCTCCTATAACAATTAAATAAAATGATAAATGGCATTAATTCAAGAAAACAAGTGAACAAAGTAAATACTGTACCTTTTCTTACTCAAGAAATTTATAAATCCCTTTAACTACATCTAAAAAGTGGTGCTTTTTTTTCCCATGCCACAAAGTAATTAAATAATTTAAATATTATGTCCCAAATATCATCAAATATAGCACACTATTAAAAATAAAATTAAACCAGAAGAAAACATCTAAAGTATCAATAAAAAATAACCAGTATAACTTTTAGATATAATGACTCTCAAATTCAGATTTTCTCCATTAAATGTAGTCATTCAGCTCTAAAAGAAATGCTACTTCAGCTTACATAAAATTACAGTAGGACTGTTTACCAAATCACACTCTTTCCATTTTTTCTTTTTTCATTTCATGGTTTCAAGGTGCTAATGTATGATGGAATTATAAAGTAATAATGCCTATTTTTCCTTTTTGGTATCTCCAGTGCTTAGCACAGTGCCTGGCATAGAGCAAATGTTTAATAAACACTTATTAATTGATTGATAGTTTTTATATAAGTATAAGAAAATTTCAAAATAACATGAAGTTATAAAACGAGAGAAAAAGAAATTAAATGATTTTACACTTACTTCAAATTGATCCAGAGCAGAGGTAGGAGCATTCAAAAATGCCAAGAAAGAATTCTGTGAGTCTTGGTGCTTTACACCTAGAAGACAGCAGCAACTTTTTTTAAGCTTGAGAACAAAACTACTTTTCATGGATGACCTTTTCTGCCTGAGTTTGTTAAAAGACATTCCCAAACCAAAGTATTCAAAGATCATCAAAGTCCTGTGTACACACACTCAAACCAAAATATATTCAATACTAGTAATAATTTTTTTCTTAGCATTATATATCATAAGATCAGAGGATTTTGTGGGGTTTTTTCCTAGTACACCCATAGTAGGTTTTGTAATGGAATAATAGACATATCTGCCTTCACATAACTGCTTCTTAAGTTTCAAATTATCTCATTCCCCCCCTTCTCACTAAAATACAGAGCTTAAACAAAATTTCTGATCTTCTTGGGAGGCCCACAATATTTTCGATAAAAGGGGCCTTTCAACTGACTCAAATTGTCTGTGCTGATTTCTTCTAACCAACTGATATTTTTGCTTTGAAATATTCTTATGAAATGCATAGGATGGATCTGCTAATATAAACAACTTCTTATAAGAAAACAATGCATTTATTGAAATATTATATAAAACAATTCACTTAATTAGGCTTAAAATTTTTTTCAAGGTATTAGCCACTAGGTTACCTGTTCAGACAGAATGAAGAATCCAGATTATACCTTGTCTCAAAATAATTTTTAAAATAAAGTCTCATGCATTATTTTCTAAATAATAGCATTGTACTTAAAAAACTGAGTTTTAAAGTAAAGCATGCCAGTATCAACGCACTACTCAAAACATTACAAAAAATAGTCAAATACAATTTTTAGCACTTTGAATAAGTCATATTGTTTAAGAACTCATTTTACCTATGATTTTTCAGATACAATCTCTATGTTTAGAGATGCTGCACAAAACTGCATATTTATTTATCTTCATTTCTGCAACTGTTGTTATTTTGTTGCATTCTTAGACCAAATCACCATTAAAACAAAATTACATTAAAATGTTAAATTGGAACTAAATTACAGAGCACCACATAATGTCAGAGTTATTTTTTAATCTTTCTAAAATGGCTTAATGTATTATAATGTTTGGCAAACAACGTATCAAGACACAATGCGTACATCATGAAAGTCTTGGTGATAGGCAACAAACCAGAATTTTTTTGTAGTTCTAATCTGGGAAATGCAGACCACTATGATGACCACATTTATGTCTTGTCCACCTTTGTCTTCCCTTCACCAAGCAATCTCTTTTTATCCTCTCAAATTTTAACCAAGTCAGGAGCTATACCAGTAGGGTACTTATGGCTCCAAATCTGCATTCCCTTGCACCAATCACTGCTGCTGAGTTCTTTCTCCCTTCTCTCTCTCTCTCCCCTTCTCTCTCACTCTCCCCCCCTCCCCCTTCCACCCACTATTACAGTCAACAAATCATTCAATAAGTATTTATGAAACACCTGCAAAATTAGGAATATTGCACTGAGGGGATTATCTGTTGTACCTTCATTATGTGCATCTCTTTTCCCTATCTGTCAATCTTCTTCAGCGCATATAACGGATCAGAAATATAACTAACCAATTTTGTACTCAGGGCAGGCATCAAGGAGAATGGAGATTTGACTGGGGTCTGGCCTTAGAGGGAGAGGTCTGCCTAACTCCACAATATCATGAGTTTTCTAGGGTAAAGGGGTAAGAAGCTGTCTTTGGCACAAATTCACTATTAATGGGGTCCAGGAGGAAGGACAAGTACCCCAGAAATGGTGTTTTTGGCACCTTTCCACCGACCTTAGTTGTGCCATAGCAAATCTACTGATTTACAAATGTGCTATGAAAAGAAAAGTTCTTAAAGGCAATTATTTGGAATCAAGAAAACCTAAATTCAAATTTGACCTCAGACACTAGCTGTGTGACTGTGGACAAGTCACTTAACTTCTATATCAGTTTTCTTAACCATAAAATGGGGATGATAATAGCACCTATCTCTCAGGGCTGTGGTAAGGATCAAATGAGATAATATTTTGAAATGTTTATAAATCTTAAAGGACTAAATATAAATGCTACCTATCATTATTATTTTATTATGAATTTAGCATAATTTTCAATGGTTCTTTGCTAAAAGTATATCATCTACTGATGTTACATATTCATTTCAGATAGAAAGTGTTGTTTAAGTCTTATCGATGTTATGAAAGGAAATTCTAAGCAGCACATTTAAGAGAAATGCAAAACAGTCTCATTGCTCTTTTTTTGTGGCAGTCACAGTGTTTAGTGAGAAAAAGTAACAATTAAGGAAATCTCAGAGTATATATGACAGGCTCATTTGATGCATTTCATTCAATAAACTTGAGTAAAACATGGCATTCAAAAACAACTGTTCATTAGCTAATTACCCCCTTCTTTAATGCTTTGTTTTCTCATCTAGTTACTTTATGTATCACTTTTATCTTCTGAACTAAATTCTATGTTCCTTAAAGACAGGAGATGAATATTGTTTCCTTTGTGCCTCTAACAGCAGGTAGCAAATTTCTAGACATATGCAGATGACTAATAAAGACAAGTTAACTTAATAGTCTTCTTTTGTAGATATAATCACATATTCATATTACATCGTGCCACAGCAACTTAGAATATTCCAAAATGGAAAGTGACAATGGTTTAGTAACTTCAAATAAATTTTTTTCCAACTACAAAAAGCTGTTCATAGAAATTTCTATACTAATGAAAAGGAGTTCAAATTGGTGCAAAATTATATTTATTCCTACCATAAAAATAGATCTTATCAAGATAAACAAAAAACCCAGAATAAATGGCTCTGTGAAGCCAGTATTTCTCATACACAAACTATAAACAGTTTCTTATATAGTAAAATATATCCACAGTACAATGAGACCTGATTTATATGGACACCAGCTTCCATACCCTTTTCAGATTTAAGCTCCTCAGTCTCCTTTTTCAGTTTTTCAATTTCTGAAAGCAGTTCCAAGTTCTTCTTCTCTGACTCTTGCAGTTTGCTTAAAGGGGGGAAAGAGAGGGAAAAGAAAAAGATGTAATTAGCTACTAAATTCTAGCTATTTCCTCACTTAACCCATCATTCATATTACTGTCACTTGAAAGGCTTATTTAGGAATTTTAGACTAAAAACTAATATTGGCCAACTTGAATTGTCAAATAAAAAACAATGCCATGAAACAAAAGCATGCTTCAGATTCTGTTAGGACTTATTTAGGATGGAACCATAAAACTGCCTTTGTTTACTATTCTGAGGTTGACTCACATCAAACTCATATACCTTGAGTAAATGAAAAGTTTATCTTTACTTTGATGTACAACAGTATTGTTATATATCAATATTTTAATTGGCACCTCCACATGCTGTTTTGGATCACATGCTCAATAATGTTTTTCTTTTAAGAGCCATAAAATTTTAAATAAAGCATGTTTGACTCCCAGTTTAAATTTTAAAAAATTAAATATTCTATTTTTATGGGTTTGCTTTTCACACAAAAATTGAACTTACACACATACACACACACATATGGATTATATATGTATTTCCTCCCATTCCATTTAAGACACTTTAGATTTTTAATGGTCTACATTTAAGAAAACTGTATATTTATACAATTTACACTTTGACTATCAAATTTATTTCTTTTAATCCCTCCACTGTTCTTTTACAACTCATTTGTAGTAACTTATTCATAGACAAAATCACTGAGATAATTATTAATATTCTAAACTTTCAGAACTGTGCTGTCCCCTACTTTGGTGTTAAGCTTAGAGAGCCCTGGGAAATGGTTTTTTTCTTTGGCTTACTGAAAAAATAGATCCATGAATTTTAAATTTATGAAAGCTCTAGGTGCACTTGAAGTCTTTTTAAAAAGTATAATACAACACACACACACACACACGCACGCACGCACACACGCACGCACACATCCACCCTCCCCAATATTCTTTCCGTAATGGTAACTGGCTGTAAATTATAAAACAATATGATTCCAGAAAAATGATAATTTCAAGTGTCTGAAAGGCACATCTATGGCAAAAACGTGGTAAGAAGTTCAAGTAGCAAGAGTCATAAGTTAAGAGGTGGACAACTCAAGTGCTACACTGGTGCCCATTAAAATGCTAAAAGAAATAGAGGCCCTTCAATGTATTAGGCAAGATTGACTAGGAGGGATTTGTTGAGTTACAACAGACAGAAGGTATGGAAGTGCTGAGGGCTGTACTGATGAAGAGTCCAATCCAATCAAAAAAACATTTATTAAGCACCTACAACATGCCAGGTACACAATGTGCTAAGACACAAAAATAAAAACAGGTTCTGGACTGGAGAAGCTTATACTGCATTGGGGAAAGCACTTTAATCTAAAGCAAGCTATTTAATCTTTTGTAGAAACTAGTGTCTTTCATCTTTAGTTTTCTTTACTTTAAAAAATTAAAATTTGTTGACACATTTGAAAAGTTAATTTTTTTTCAATTAACCAACATCTACCTTCTCTCTCTCTTTCTTTCTCTCTCTCTCACTCTCTTCTAACCTAACCTCCTCTACCGAGAAAGAAATACAAAGCTCTTTTAACACAACTTGTTTTAACAATACACACTTCCCAACAAACACCCAAATAGGATGTCAACCAAATAAAAACCAGTGATCAGTTGTTAACAATACAAGATGGGTCTTCATGGGATTAACACTGACAAATATATTTAACCAGTTTTGTTGCCTCTCCATGTTGACTTTATACTGGTGCAGTCATTGAGTATCTCTAAATGGGATTACAGATATGCTGAAACCATGAAGTATGCAAGTAATCAATAAATGATTTTTAATGCCATCTTAAGGAAAAAAAGAAGGAATTAAGTGATCTTTTTTTTTTCTTTGTAAAGAAAAATGGCTTGATAGGCATGAAATTAAATGCATGTAACTAAGACCTCTCTTTAAATGCCTTCTCACAAACTCAGGAAGCAGTCCATTTGAACTGTATTACTCCATCTCACCATTCTGTTGAGATGTTTGATGCTTTCACTTTATTAAGCTCTTCTTGGATGGCCTGTTTGGCTTTAATTTCAGCATCCAAAGCTGACTGCAACTCCAACCGAGCTGACATATCCAGTTTTGCAAAACGGCGCATCTTCCAGGGCATATCCTAAAAACAATGCAATTGTGTTTCCAGCTACATTCTATTATATTTCCAACATATAAGACCTAAAATTCCAAAATTAATATGGAAAAACTCCAATAATATTACCTTTCTCAAATGATAAAATAGAAAAATAATCTGTAAAAATTATTACTTTACACTAAGCTCAAAGATAAGTTATTTATAAGAGAACAGGTTGATTTTTACATGAACATCTCATTAATTAAAATTTTAAGTACATTACAGAAATTATGTTTGATATATAAATTCTGAATTAAGGAGAAAGTCAAAGTATTTGATTTCTACTGAAATACTTTATTATAGGTCAAAATTTGGAAAAACATAACCTTATCAAAATAGTTTTCATGGCTTATTTTTCATCACCACTATTAATTCTTACATAAAATGGCAATTCCTTACTGTTGCTCTTGTACCAAGGCTGGAATTTCTCAATGCCTCCAGTTCCTCTGTCATTTTAGAGGCCAAAGCTTGAAGATACCCTCGTGCATCCTTTTCATCACTCACCCTAGCATATGAAAAACAAAAGACTAACGTGAAGACTCTTAAAAGGCTATATATTTAAATTGTGTAGCTCAATTACATATATGTTAAAAATCTAAAAAAGAAATGTGATAAATGATTGAACAATTTTGAGCTTTACCACAGAAAAAGGCCTAAATTATAGTACTTTTGTCTGGGAAAAGGCTTATTGTACCAGAAAAATTGAAACTTTGTGAGGGAATGTTTGGATTTCCTTATGATTAATAAACTAAAAATATTCCTTATAGTTAACATCGTTTACGTTTTCATTGATAACTTTTTTTACATCATCATGAGTTTCCTGAGAACTTCTCCTCCTCTCCCACAGCTATCCCATAAAACAAAAAGTACTTTTAAAGACAAAATAAAAGGAAAGAAAAAGAGGGAAAAAATCAGCACAATCAATCAATACATTGAAAAAATTCAAAAATGTTCCATGTGCATCACCAGAATACCCCTCCATCTTTGCAAAGGAAGGAGTGTCCTCTCATATCTCTTTCTTCCAGACATGGTTGATTTTTGTAATTTTACTATTATTTACTTTTTATTTCTCCTTGTGTGATTGTTCTATATATTCAAAGTTTTGTAGTCAAGATAGATACTACATTCTTGGCTCTGCTTACTTCATGTAGATCTTTTCATGCTTTTTGGTATACATTTATCATTTTTACAGCACAGAAATATTACATTACATTTGTATTACAATTAGTAAATAGTAAACAGTTTGTAAACAATTTGTTTACATCTTTTGGCCACTTACGTGTTGAGAAATGGCTATTCATCGTGTGTGTGTGTGTGTGTGTGTGTATTTGTTAACTGTCTACATACCCTGGATAATAAACTCTTATTAGAAAAATTTGATACAAAGATTTTCCCCCCATTCAACCACTTCCCCTTGTAGCCTAAGTAAATTAATTTTATCTGTGAAGAAGCTTTTCAGTTTCATATAATCAAAGTTATCTATTTAATTTTTTGTAATTGCCTTTAATTCCTTCTTTAGTTAAGAATACATTTACTACCCATAGATTTTAAAGGCATGTGACCTGTTTCTCTTCTAATTTTTTAAGAATATGATTTTCATGTTGGAATATTACATTAATTATATTTATATTAACATTGTTAATAATAAAGGGCAGCTAGGTGATGCAATGGATAGAGTGTCAGGCCCGAAATCAGGAAGACTCATATTCCTGAGTTCAAAACTGGCCTCAAGACACTTACTACTTACATTGATCCTAGGCAAGTCACTTAACCCTGTTTGCCTCAGTTTCCTTATCTTCAAAATGAGTTGGAGAAGAAAATGGCAAATCACTCTAGTATCTTTGCTAAGAAAATCCCAAATGGGGTCATGAAGAGTCAGACACAATTGAAGATGAGTGAACAACAACAACAATATTAAGGTCCCTTACCCATTTAGAATGTATTGTGGAATATGGTATAAGGTCTAAGTCTAATTTCTGCCAGACTACTTTGATGTTTTCCCAGTAGGTTTTTTTTTTAAATCAAAAATGGAATTTTTCCTTAGTAACTTCTATTTTTTACTTTATTGAATAGTGAGTTATTGAGTTCCATTGTTTCTAATGCTCCCTTATCTATTCCTTTGATCTACCTCTCTATTCTTAAACCATCAGGTGTTTGACAACTGCTGCTTTTTATTAGAGTTTGAGGTCTGGAAGAGCTACTTCCCCTTTGTTTCTAATTTTTTTCATCATTTCCCTTCATGTTCTAAAACTTTTGTTTTCCCAAGTGGATTTTGTTATTATTTCATATAATTCTATAAAGTATTCCCTTTATAATTTGATTGGTAACAACATTAAAAGTATAAATTAGCTTTGTACAATATTGTCATTTTTATTGTATTGGCAAAGCCTAGCCATGAGCACTGAATATTCCTCCAACTATTTGTTTTTTTATTTATTAAAAGAGCACTTTGTAGTTAAATCTATACAAGTCTCTTGTGTGCTTTAGTAGATCGGTCCCTACATACTTTATGCATTTTGCTGTTATTTGGAATGGGGTTTCCCTTTCTATTATTGCTTCTTGGATTTTGTTTTTAATATATATAGAAATACAGTTGTTGTTTTTTTCCTGTTCTTTAGTACCTTTATTTCTCATGGAACGTGACCAAGATTAGAGGTCTGAGTTTTCTCAAACAAGATTAGATTTTACAGAGACCAAGCTTGAGGCAACTGAAATGTTATCAAATACTGTGACTCACGCTATAAGTATCTTATATTCTCTGTGTTCTGAGACTAGACATGTTCTACAGAGAGTAAGCCTGTAGTAATGGGACTGTGATGTCTCCTGCAATAAGTATCTTCTCCTCTGAGGGTCCTGAAACTAGATGCATTTCTAGAGAGCAAGGCTATAGTAATCAAAATGTTCTCAGACAGAATGTCTCTTACCACAACTATCTTCTCCGCTCAGTGTTCTGAGACAAGATGCATTTCCCCAGAGAGCAGAGAGCAAAGCTGTAGTAACCAGAATGCTCTGAGGAGTGTATCCTGCCCCAAGTATCTTGTCTTCTGAGTGTTCTGAGACTACATGTACTCCCAGAGAGCAAGTCTGTAGTAATCAAAATGTTCTCACAGACACTGTCTCTTGCCACAAGTATCTTCTCCTCTGAGTGTTTTGAGACTACATGTGCTTCCACAGAGAGCTAACCTGCAGTAACCTGAATGTCCTCATAGAGAGTGTCTCTAGCCACAAATATCTTGTCCTGTGAATATATTGAGACTAGATGTATTTCCACAAAGAGCAAGGCTGTAGTAACCAGAATGTTCTCTAAAAGCATGTCTTTAACTACAAATATCTTGTTCTCTGAGTGCTATATAGTTGAGCTGACATTTGTTTTACCTTCTCCTTTGTGGAGGTGAGAAATCCCTGGTGTTATACACTGTACACATTTTCCAAATGCATCCGTCAGTTGGGCTGACCTTTTTTTCCCTTCCCTCACAGATCCTGTTTGAACATGCACACACAGGATCCTCAGGGATCAGTGATGCAGGGGGTTGGGGAGGGGACAGGGTAAAAAAGCAGGCATTCCTTGAGCTGCCTGCAGCCCCCTCTCCTGACTCCAGGGAATGGGGCCCTCAAACTGCCTCCTTCAGAGGCCTATGTTGATAGTTGAGGACTAATTTTGTAGCCTTCAACTTTGCTGAAGCTATAATCGATTAGTATTTTTGATGATTCCCTGGGATTTTCAAAGTATACCATCATATCATCAACAGATATAATTTTAACCTTTCTTCATCTTTGTCTTTAATTTTTTCTTTGTCTATATTTATGTCTTTAATTTCCTTCTTTTATTGTTGTTGCTAGAGAGTGAGTAACCTTGCTTTACTCCCTATTTATTGGAAAAAGATCAGTCTCTACTGAATATGAGGCTTACTTTTGGCATTAGAGATGTACTTTTTGCAATGTTAAAAAAAAAAAAAAGGTTCCTTTATGCCAGGCCAGCACAACCTGTGGCCCACGGGCCACTTACAGCCCATGGCCAAAGGATTTTGGGCGGCCCGTGTAAAATGTAGAGGAAAACATCCTCTACATTTTTCATGGGCCTCCCAAAATCCTTTGGTGTGCCTGTGGGCCGCAGGTTGTGCAGACCTACTTTAAGCGTACATTTTGTAGGGTTTTTAGCATAAATGAGTGTTATACTTTGTTAAAGTCTTATTGGTTTTCAATATGATTAATTATATTGAATGCTTTCCTAGTGTTGAACTATTCTTGCATCTCTGGTATAAATCCAATTTGTTCATAATGAATGATTTTTTGGATAAATTGTTACAGTCTAAAAGGATTTTGTTTACTTTTTTTTAATCTATATTCATTAAAGACAGTGGTCCACAGTTTAATTTCTATCTTTTATCATTTTCTAGTTTAGATAATAGGACTATATTTCTATCATAAAAAGATTCTGGTAGGGTCCTTTTTTTTTAATTTTTGAGAATAATTTGTATAGTGTGGCTCCTAATTGTTCTTTAAACGTTTGCTCACTTGGGCGTCTCTTTTTGTTTGCTGCTTGACTTTCAATTGTGAAGGGTAGTTCTCGAGTCCAAAGTTAGTTCTTTTCTTTGCTGCCAGAGGTTCCATTTTTTGAAGCTGCTTCCTGTTTACAGTTGCTCATTTTAACTCTCTTCCTTCATCTGTGTCTGGAAATTGTGTGTCTCTACTCTGTGTTGAATGTGGCATCTCCTATTGTTTGAAGAGGTCATCTGCCCTGACCATGTGGTGAAAGGAAATCTAAACCATCCCCAAAGCTACTTTCCATTTTGACTTAACTGTAGACCTTAGCAAAAGCTAGTTTTTCAAAGACAACCGGGGCATGGCAAATCTTCTACTATCTAATGGTAAGCAGGCCCCTCTAATTCTTTCAGGGAGAATTTCACACTTTATAAAAGCATAACACCTTGTTAACACATTAACACCTCATCACCTCTACAACCTATCCTTTACCTTCAATGATTTACATGGTTTTAACACTTAATTTAGTACCTTATTACCTGCCTTTACATCCTGGGTTAAGAAATCATGGACCAACTCCTTAGTTATTTAGGAATGAGAAAGGAATTTATAATTTTCATATTAATTGATATGATATGTGTAATGAATATACTAATAATTTAGTTTCTCAAGAGCTGCCTCTCTAGCTTGGGAGTCAGAGCTCACAATGTAGCTTAAACAGATAAATCAAAACTCTGACAATACTCACAATCACTAGACCTTAAATGAAGTGAATCAAAGATTGTAGAACCTGTTTCCGTCATAGAATTCTCATTCTGTACTTTAGGGGAGGTAGTCACAACCCCCAAAGACTTGACTCCAGAATTGTTGTACTGTGGGACTCATGGAGTTTCTTGTGGGAAACCACTAAATGATTGTTTGTAATCCACCTTCTCCAACTGTGATTTAAGTATATAATCTGTGCTTTTACTTCAACTAACAGAATATTCCTCACTCTGAAACTGATTAATTAAAAGACTGTGT